ATTAGTCATCAGCTGTTTGATATTGTGAACATTTTTATTTGTTTATCTTTGGATGATTTTTTATTGATTCTTGTTGTCAAGGAGAAATCAATATTTTCCAGAGTTGGATTGTTCTGATGTGTAGAAAATGTTAGTTTGTTAAAGTATTAAATATCTTAATTATTTTTTTTAATTTGCATGTTGATTTAATTACAAATAGTAGACTATTTCTGTAAATCTTTTCACCAGGAAATATGTACGTTGGCTAAAGATAATGTAGCCCCTGTGTTGCCCACTGATCTCGAAGCGAGTCGCTTTGTACTGTCTCCTACTTCTGCGTCTGAGGTTCGTGAAGTCGTCTTATTAATGGGATCAAAAAAAAGTTCTGGCATTGATGAAGTCCCATGCAGCCTTCTCAAACTTTGCAATGAAAACATCTTTGAAGCATTGGCCTGCGCTATTAACAAGTCGTTTGAAACTGGTTGCTTTCCTGATTCGTTGAAAACTTCAAAGGTTGTCCCTGTATTGAAGAAAAATGATCCTCTTAACGCAAGTAACTACCGGCCTATTTCTGTCCAGCCTTGTTTTGGTAAAATCTTTGAGATTATTTTTCTTAAAAGATTGCTAAGTTTTATTGAAACAAATAACATCTTGTCAAACAACCAATTTGGGTTCAGAAAAAACATGTCTACCTGTGATGCCATTTTTGCCCTTATAAAGGAAGTATATAACCACCTTGACATATCTGACAGCTTACTATGTCTCTTTTACGACATGACAAAGGCTTTTGATCTTCTTGACCACAGGATCCTTCTGGATAAGCTGCGAATGCTTGGCATTTCTGGAAACCCACTGCGATGGATTTCATCGTATCTTAAAGATCGGCACATGATTGTATCCTTGAAGCACAGAGGCCCTGACAACATCCTTCGGACATATAAATCGTCTCCATCACCAGCTCTGAACATCGGTGTCCCCCAGGGATCAAACCTTGGGCCCATCCTATTCCTGTTATACGTGAATGACTTGCCTGGCTCCATATCATCTGGAAATTTATGGCTTTTTGCCGATGATGCCTGTCACCTAGTCCCAAGCCCAAATCGGAACATCACGATTGAAAACGCCCAAACTGGCTTGCTTGAAATGTCAACTTGGTGTAGCAAAAATCATCTGGTCCTTAATTCTAGTAAAACTAAATTAATGGAATTTTATAACAGGAAGAAGCCTGAACCACCTCCGATATTGACCTTGGACGGGGTGCTACTTGAAACCTGTAGTGAAACCAAATACTTGGGCCTACACATTACGGAGAACCTTAATTGGGGAACACATGTCGATGCAATAGCGCCCAGACTGTCATCTGTCACCTACCTGCTGTTTAGACTTCAAAAGCTGGTTGACATCGAGATTCTCCTTAAGGTTTATTATGGCTGTTTTCATAGCATAATCTCATATGGTTTGGTATTTTGGGGTGGTTGTAGTGAGGCAAAACGCATCTTCATCCTTCAAAAGCGTGCAATTAGAAGAATATGTGGAGTCCATAGACGGACACACTGTAAACCTTTGTTCCAAGAACTGAACATCCTCACACTTCCGTCCCTCTTTATATTGGAATCCGCATTGCTTGTTAAGAAGAACCCCAATATTTTTGTAACAAACAGCATGGTCCACAATTACAATACTAGAAGAGCAACAAATCCACATGTACCTCAAGTAAATTCCACCCTTGCAAGCAAGAGCCCTTACTTCAATAGTATAAAAATTTACAATAAATTGCCTCAGTACATCACACAAGAGCCCTCTGTCAACAAATTCAAGAACCTGCTAAAAACATTCTTAAGTCAAGTGGCCTACTACAGTGTTGATGAGATATATGTCTAGGCCATGTACAATCTTGAAGAGGAAATGAATCCATCTATTTAAATAAATATGAAGAAATGTATAAAAACCTGACGACCACGTCGCTGATGCGATACCAGTGGGAATTCTCCAAGTATCCAAGTAAGTAAGTATCCAAGTAATTTGAATCTATTACACCTTGCCAGGGTTGCCAACACAGCTGAAGAGTCTAAAAATTGTTTTTACTGCTGCATATGTATAAATATGTTAACTCATTAGTCATTGTGAATAAACCGCTATATTTCCACTGTTCTATATTTACACATGTACACACATATATAAACAATCTAGGCCTACTAGCCTGCTATGAAAGGTGAGGAATGGGGATTAATTAAGGTTTAGTGGATGAACCATTGGTAGCTTAGTTCCCATCTTCTCAGTTATGTTTCTGTTCTGAGGGGTTGCAGTTTGGAGGCAGTTGTTTTATTATTTTTGAAAAGAAGCATCTATTGAAATCAGATTTGGAGTGTGATGAGGCATGGTTGACTACTGGTTTGTCTTTATAATTATTTTTTAAATCTTGACGATAACCATTCATTCTGGTCCGGAACTGGTTTTTTGTTAGGCCTAAATACTGGGCTGGGCAGTCTTTACTTTGTTTCTGGTTGCTGTCATTGGATCTGGTATCTTAGGATGAACAAGACTCTTGGTAACAGACACCCATTCTCTTATCTACCTCTCCTAACATAAACAGTTCCACTTTGCTATAGCCATTGTAGGAGTACCTTACTGGCTAAATCTTATTTTTTTTTATATATATATTTAGAATTCTTTATTTATTAGAAACCTTGACAATGTACCTGTCTGTGTATACGTTTGTAATAATTGTAACAGATATTATGTGCAATAAAGAATTATCATTTGTCAATCATAAAAAATATGACGTTGATTTATTTAGGCCCTTTAGGATTTTAGGTTTTAGTGTTTATTAATGGTCCTTGGAAGCACACACACTCCCGATCTTTTACCCAGTTTTATTCCCTCCTCACTTCTTCTTGGACTCCAGAACTCCTTTTTATTCATAATCACAGCTCATTGACTAAGGAATTACCATTGTATGTAGCTTATGGTACCTATGTTAGTTCTTGGGAGTGAGACCAAATCAAATCAAATCAAATCAAATTATCTTTATTCACTTTATACATTTTATATACTTGAATAGTGTCAAAGCATACAACATTAGTTATAAAACTTAATCTAAATGGCTTAACCATAAATTTGACAATTATTTTAGAATGGACAGCTAATTCATTTTTGATTTATAAACTCATCTATACTATAGGGAGCCAGATTAATTAAGAATGATTTTAGCTTTTTCAAAAAATTGGGTTTGTTTTGATCTTTTTTTAGTAAGGCAGGCAAACTTCTTATGAATAAATTGCCAATATACGAAGGCTTCATTTTTGAAAGTTTCAGACGATGATGACTTTTTACAGTAAGATTTTTCCACCTTGTATTGTATTTATGGGATACTTCAGTGTTTTTATCTTTATAAACATGCCGAATAGTTTTAAAAATATACAAACCGTAAAAATTTTCATTTCTTTAAAGTACTTTTTCAGTGACTTCTTGTTCTTAAAATTTTCAATAACTCTAATGGCCTGTTTTTGCAGTTTTAAAACCTTTTTCAAATTTTTTTGTGCTGTCCCACCATAAATTTCGATTCCGTGGCCAATATGACATTCTATAAGCGAGTGGTATATCAATTTTAACACAGCTTTTTCACAGAGATAAGCCATTGATCTCAAAACAAACAAGCCTGAATTAATTTTACCAACCAAATATGTAATATGTCCATTCCAATTTAGATGTTCATCAATTATCAAGCCTAAAAATTTAGTTGATTTCACTTGATTGATCGGCTTATTATTTAGATTAATTTTAGGGGTTTGATCTTTTTTCATCTTATTTGTATGAAAGAAAACAAAATTTGTCTTGTTTGTATTAAGTGTTAAATAGTTGTTTGTTAAGAATTGTTCAACATTTTTGAGCTCCAATTCAGTAGAATTTTTAATATCAGTAATTGAACTACCCGAAGTTTTAAGATTTATATCATCAGCATATATACTTAATATACTGGCTGACTCAGTCAATGCATTTGGGAGGTTTTTAATGTAGCATATAAATAAAATAGGGCCCAAAATAGAACCCTGAGGGACCCCTAGATACGTCTGTAGTAAATCTGATTTTGTCTTCTGTATCCAATTGTTTTTTGATAAATAAGAGAGTTCTACAAATTGATAGCGATCCTCCAAATATGAAGTGAACCATTTATGTGCAACACCCTTAATGCCCATTATCTTAAGCTTGTTTAGCAATACCATATGATCTACATTGTCAAAGGCCTGCGACATGTCCATAAATGTTCCAGCAGTATTTAAGCCTTTATCAACAGAATCTATTATGGCTTCAATGAGACTAATTGCTGCAGTAACTGTTGATCTTCCAGCCCAGAAACCATGCTGTTCATTATCAATTTGCTCTGATCTGCTTAAAAATTATATCAATCTGTTGTAAACTGCTTTTTTATATACTTTTGAAATTGTGGGAAGAACTGATACTGGTCGGTAATTAGAAACATCATTTTTAGAATTCTTTTTATGAACTGGTATGATCTTATCTTAGCAATTTTTAATTGTTCGTTAGTTTGTTTGTTAGTTGTTCAACTAAGTGTAATATGAAGAGCGTCCGCATAGTTGAACACTATGGGTTACTAAATATTAATGTTGACCTTCTTGCGTTCCTATTCGTTGGTAATCAGTGACGTGTTTTGTCAACACAGTGACATCATCACTCTTCAGCCATCCACTATAGCTTCATCTTAAATAAATATTAACACAAAACATTCATTACACACTTTTTTTACAATAAAATCCATTTATAAAAAAAAACTGGTATTGTCACAAGTGCCATACCGCATGCATTTCCTTAACTGTTTGCGTTGTAATTTAGTGCATTACCTGGTTCACACTGTACTACCTCATAAATCTCGTAACACAGTTAGCAGCGAATAGGAATGACAGAAGGTAAACATAAATATTTATTCATATATGAGGTTCCAATTTTGGGAAAAATATTTTAACCGTGGGTTACACTGTGGATTATTTTAATGCTGTTGACAGACCAAGATGGTGCGGAGCCGAGTGGCAACAGTGTGTCATGTCACAATCTGCTAAGGTTGGCAGCTCTGCTGGACAGACCCAAGTACAAAAACAAGGCTGCCAAGCTACTTGCGTCCTTCACCTCAAGACTGACCAGTCTGCCTCTGGCTTTGCCTCTGTTGACATCGGCTCTGATGTTATATCACGACAGCCCTACACAGGTCAGATATGTCCTTAGAAACAAGGGTATTTCAAACTAATTGATTGCTTGCAATAAGTTCTAAAATATCTATAAACTATCTATCTATTTTTGAATTATCTCAGGACTGTTGTCAAAGGGAAAGAATTGCACTCTTTCATGAGGCAAGTTCACATTTTCAACTGTTTAAGATGTTCCTATTATTTATTGTTTTGGTTGATTATATCCCTAAATATGGAGAATGAGAATAAAATAATTCCATTCCCATGTTACAGTTCTTGGCAGTTCAGAATGAAAATCAGTGTAATTGAACTAAGCCACCGACAGATTGTGCTTTTGTACTGAAAAAAGTAAAAACTTTGAACCAGAGATTCCAGTTTAGTTATAAATATTTGTTTGTAGATCATCATCACAGGCAAGATGTCTGACCCCAACACAGCATCACTGGTGAATGTGGTCCGCTCTAGGCTCGTATCAGGCAGAGTGTTGATATTAGCTGACGGAGACACTACCAGTATCTTGTACCGCAACAGCGAATCTATGAGGAGGTTGGTTGCACCTATCATTCTTACTGTCATTTTTGTTGCTACACCACACATATATATTTTTTATTTTGGAAGGACACAAAAAATATTACCTCTTAATGACACATAACAGGTGATTAGGTGAGTCGGTGCTTCAGTGGGTTGCGTCACGGACTTCGGGCCCAAGACAGCGATGTTGTGGGTTTGGATCCTGGTAACTGCTGGTACTTTATATCAGTACAGTTCACCCTTTTACTGTACCGGCTCGCCCCTTGCTTTGCTACATACGTTCCACGCACATGCACATAGCCTATGTAGCCCACATAGGCCTGTTAAAAAAATAAATATAATAAAACAAATTTAAAGGAAGAAGAAATGGATACACAACTAATTTGCAAGAAAAGGGTTTCAAGCAGTTAGCAACACCAAAGAGTAAGGTACAGAGGAAACATTCATTTCATGGTACACTTAAGTGGTGTCTTGCACTAGTGCTGGTGTCTAGTACTAAGTCAACACCGCCCCCTTCACCCTCATGTACTACAGTGATCACGGTGGAGGAAGATCCTGTGAGTTCCTGCACAGTGCTTGCTGCTCGGGCTCCTTCTAGCTCGGCACAACATACTTAAGCTCACTGTAGTCCCATAAGTGTGTTTCCTCTGTACCTTACTTCTCTGTGGCAGCATTCAAAAGTTTCACAATACAACTACATTAATTTGTTTGCTACTACAAGTGGGCTTCTTCAGAAGGAAGTACTTTCCATCAGGAGAATCCCTTGTACCAGGGTTAGTTTTTAGGGTTAAGATAGTTGTGTATCCATTCCTTTTTCCTTAACATAGTTTTAATGTAGACATTTTTAGATGTTTTAGAATGAATATATTTTAAATCCTCAATTAAATATGCTAGTCAGTTAACTGACTTTTGGTCTGATTTTTGTTTCCATTTTCCTTATCATAAAAATGATACAAATATTAACAAAACAATAAAAATTTTCCGAAACATTAAACATTTTAGAGAGGAAATAAGAGCTTCCTCCTAATTCAGTTTATAATTAATTTATTAGCAAAAATAATGAATTGACGGAAAGTGTGAGTCCAATAACTGATGTTTGTTGTAGGTTGAAAACTCCCTCCAACAACCAACAGAGTGCGTATGTATGTCGCAACCACACATGTGCGTTGCCTGTGCAAACAGCCCACGACCTTGCGTCATTGCTAGACTCAGCCAGTCATTAGATGGCACTGTGTAGAGGCAAATTGAAAATATCTTGTAACAACTAATTGTATAGTGATGATTTAATTTAACTTTTTCTTTTTACACTTAGTTTTTGCATAAGTTTGACTTCAAGTTTGGTGAGATAGATTAAGCCAATATTTTATTAAATAAGAACTGAATCGAATGAGCCACTGAGTGTGCTAAAGTCTAAGCATTTGTTTCTCACATTTTTTTTCTATACCGTGTTAGTTTATGCAATATAAAAGATCCTTTATAGTTTACAAGAAGTTTTTCTTTCTGTTTTAATTTGTCAAGAGTTGATGTGTTCGACAGCACACTCTGCCTGTGGCTACATTCATTTACATTTTAAAACTCATTACAACTATAACACAACAATGAATTATCTAGTGCTATCAGTTAAAGGTTTATACCTACGACCGTTTTTTAAACTAGCTGTTTCAGTTCAGTTCTTAGAATTGAAAAGATTCATTAAAAGCATTATTTTTTTTACTTAACAACACTGGTAACGGACCAATGAGGATCATGGATTAAGAGAAAAGCAGTAACAAATATTTACACATTTAAATATTGAAATGCTTCGTACTTCATCTAATCAGCTTTTCAGGCCAATTTATTGTTATTGAGTGGTGCAATTAGTTTTTGGTACAATGATTCGTTGCATCACTGTCAGTGGCAATGAGAACTTATAAACGAAAATGTAACCTCTTGTAGTAGTTATGAGTAGTGATTGTTACTAATTAAAAAACTGTCTTAGGTAAAGTAGTGTACACAACTCGCCTAAATAGCCTTAACGACACTTTTTAAGGCACTCATTAAGGCTTGTACCTTAAATTTCTACTCGTGTCGTTAACACTATCTTTACTTGGTCGTTGAGTTTTTGTGTAAACTACTATTACTATTAATTTACCAGTACCTTAATTATCAGCTTTGAAATGTGCATACCAATCAAAAATAGGCTAAATTATTTTTAACTTAAATTTTCAAATAAATGCTGTTACTTGTTATTTTGTAAGGCAAAAGACACATTTGTGTATGATTTGCAAGTCTTTTGTTTCAGGCCATACTAGCATATTGAAAATATTCTATAACAAACCGATTTTTATCTTTTAGCTGTTATTAGCATACTACCGGTACATTTTGTTTAGACTAAGTTTATATTGTATTATATATGTAAAAATTTTATTTTGAAATTGTTACTTTTATCATTATTGTAAAAGATTGAGTGAAAAATCATAATACTCCAGGAATTGTTATTGCTCTTGTAGCCCCCACAAGTATTAGCATCAGTTTATTTGTATATTGCAATTATTTTTTTTTTTACTAATATTGCAATCCTTTGAGTTGAAAGGAAGATAACTAGAACTAAATAAAAATGCTGTCTTTGTTTCTCAAGACTAATTATATTTATAACAAATATTTTAATGCAAGACACTTTTTTAATGTGTGTGTATGATAAGTTTTACAAGTTTTAACATTTAAATATTATGTACAAAATTTAAAAATCCTACCAACTAGGAAATACCTGGTGAGTACCCGTTACAGGTCTCCTATCATTCATTCATTTAATTAGATTAAGTTTGCTCTCTTTGTTTATTTTAATCACTGTGTATACGTTATTGTTTCATACCAAAAGAGTGTGAAACTTATATGCTTATTTATTTTTACAATACTATTCAAAGCTATTTATTTCCTGTATTATGTAAATAATATTTATGGTGAGTTAGTATTTCCTTGTAAAAATTTTAGATAAGCATTATTTTATCAGGGTAACGTTAACGATGTGATAGCAGAAAATGTGTGTGTGGTTTTGATTGTTTAAAAATTTTTTTTTTTAGATTTGTGTGAAACTTGAGGGTTGTGCTACGAAATGTGATGAAATGATTACCATGTTGTTGTTGTTGTTATTGTTGTTGTTTTTTCTTAGACAATACTGTAATGACATGTCTGTATGGATTTCAGTAAAAGCAAAAAAGCAAAACTACATAGTAATCAATTGTTATATTTTTCTCTCTTATTAATTTTAAATTGTGAAAATATGAATGTTTAAGTACAATGCAATACTCTTTGAAAACTTTGGTTACATACACAGATAAAACAGAAAAATAAAAACACCAAAACTATTTCAACATGGTGAAAATTTGTAGATTCACATTGCTATAATTTACTCAGCAGTAAGGTTAAAAGAACGTGCTGAATATAATTTATAGTAAAACAATATAAATACAAGACTAAACATTTAGTCATGATGACCCCATGTGCATTTTTTACTACACTGAATTATTGATGTTAGGCAAAGAATAACTAAAACAAAAATCGACGAATCTCAATTGTTTTTACAATTTTTTTTTGCACATTAAGATTAATTTACCCCATTTAGAAAATGCTCACTTGGCAAAGTATACATCACAAAATATCAAATTTATTTCTCATTGTATCCACAGCAAAATAAAATTATTACTGATATTTTCATTTTTTTACATATGCAAACATGGGATTCTGTGATACTCTTTGTTATTTTTTGTGTCGTTTTTCGTTTTTCTGGTAAACAAAATTGGTAAGGATCTGAATGTTGAAAAAGAAAGATGAAGAATTTTGTCATTAGTTTCATAGCAATAAATGTTTGAAATGTTTGGTTGATTGTTGCTGACCTTGTGATTTATTTCCACTAGCATATTTTATGAAACCTCTTTTGACTATTAAAGTAGAAACTAACTAGGTTGATGTTTTGTGACAAGGTAAAAGTTCCATTTCTTTTATTTTTAGGTTTCCCTGTTAATACGTAAGTGTTACTAATGTATGTTTGGGGAAAACATATTGTTTAAAGTTGAAAGTGAGTAACACATCAATTTTAATGGATAAAAAGAAAAAAATAATACTAAATTAAGTCAGTGGACCTTATTTTTCTTTTTCTTTTAATTTAGAGTCAGTAGTATTACCTTTTCCAATAAACATTCCAAAAACCACCGAATTGACAATCTTTTAAAGTATTGTCTATTGCCAATCAATTTGGTTACTGCAAATACATTCCATGGTAAAAACTAATAAACCTTGTTTTGAACTTATGTTATTTTGTCACCAGCAATGCAACCCATAGGGCCCATGTTATTTTTTTTTAATTTTAAATTCATTTTTGAGCCTATTTTAATTTTAATTTATAAAGAGATTCTGCATACCTACAGGAAAATATTTGTCTATAACTCGGTATGTGTAGATTTTCCCTGCGAAGCACACGAGCTGAGAAAAAAGGTTATAAAAAACATGCTTGCCTATTAATATATAGATACTATATACTTTAATATATACTAGACGGAAACACACATTAAAATATTGTTCATAGCTGATTGAGGATGTCAAAATGTTATAATAAGGAACTATGTCAAATATATATTATTTCTTTTAATATAATCTTTATGATGGTAAAGAAAACTATTAAAAAGGCCATTTAAAGTCTATAACTTGTGATTCAACAAGAAATAGACCACCAGTCAGTTTTTAAACAAACCAAAGTTGGTAGTTTGAAAGTAATAAGCCCAAACAAAGACTTTGTAAGGCAAGAAGTACAAATAGGTCAGGGGTGGGTGTTGGGGAGGGAATGTTTTGACAAACACACACCCAGACAGCCATATTTTATAAATCTCAGACCCATACCATTGGGTTCTCTGAAGACTTTCACACTATTGTTCTATGAAATATTTCATCAGCCTGAGGTGAAGTTTCGATGAAATTATATTCAAAGATTGCTTTTGCCAAAACAAATATGTTGTGTCTGTTAAATAAAAGAAACATGATTTTAGTTTATTGTAATCAATCACAGAAATTCTACTGTGTTTGAATGTTGTTTTTCAGATATTAAACTTATACAAGATGAAGACATACTTTACTGGATTGGTTTGGCTTCTATCGTCTAAATTATATATTTTGCTAAATGGTAATACGTGGTCATTTTATCATGGATATCAATTTGCACATTATATTTTTTCTACAGTTACCATAAAACAAATAAATTGGTAAAGAAATGTGCCTTCACGTTGCAAAACTGGAGTGAGATAAAGTAATTAGAGTGAGACAATATTTAACATTGTCTCTCTGATGAGCGAATTGGCCACTTTGCTTTCTCAAATCAGTGAGAGAACATGTACATTGTTAGGTAGCTGTAGGAAAAATTATTATTCGATTTTAAGTCTTACCAACATTTTCAACAATGATATTTTTGGAAAAAAGATTGAATTGATAATAGCTGAATTGAACGATTTAAGCAAATCACGTCACAGAAAACATACAACTATTACCCAGAATGCCAACCGCATGGTAAAAAGCGTTAAGTACTTTGAGAGAGCTTTGTCTGTCAATTTGTAGGCAGCGCCACCAGCGTTGCTATGCTGAGTGCATTGCATTAAGATAATATACAGTGTGTAAATTAAGTATGGAAACAAATCTGTATTTTTAAAACCGAAATAGATAGAAATATTCTATTTGTGGCAATAATAGTTAACAAAGATTCCGCAATTTTTCACATGAAAAATATTTTTTTACCCCCCTAACAGGGTAGGTGGTAGGGGGTGACTTATTTTTTTCAAATAGCAACCCCTATTGAGTGACCCCTCATTTTGAAGAGTTTGTCAAAAGAAACACAATGACGCAAATCCGAGGTGAATATCTCACTCCTAGCCCAAATGGCGGATATTCCAAAATTTGATTTATTGTACGTGAAAAGCACCAATTTCACAAATAATGGAAAGAAATCTGTATTTTTAAAACCGAAATAGATAGAAATATTCTGTTTGTGGAATTGATTGTTGACATAGGTTCCGCAATTTTTTTAATCAACAATATTTTTTCAACCCCTTTAACAGGGTAGGGGGTGGGAGTGACTTATTTTTTTGAACAACAACCCCTATTGAGTGACCCCTCATTTTGAAGGGTTTGTTAAAAGAAAAAGAATGACGCAAACCCGAGGTAGATATTTCACCCCTAGCCTAAATGGTGGGTAATGAAAAATTTAATTTTTGTAAAAAAAGCCCATTTTGGAATATCCGCCATGTTAGCTAGGAGTGAGATATTCACCTCGGATTTGCGTCATTGTGTTTCTTTTGACAAACCCTTCAAAATGAGGGGTCACTCAATAGGGGTTGCTATTTGAAAAAAATAAGTCACCCCCTACCACCTACCCTGATAGGGGGGTAAAAAAATATTTTTCATGTGAAAAATTGCGGAATCTTTGTTAACTATTATTGCCACAAATAGAATATTTCTATCTATTTCGGTTTTAAAAATACAGATTTGTTTCCATACTTAATTTACACACTGTATAATATGCAATAAGAATATAGCATTGATTTTTGAACAAAACATTTAAAACGTATCATAAATTCATCATATTGGTGAAACTATAAAAAACTTGCTATGCAGTGGATAATCCATTAAAAATAATAATGTAACCTTTGAATACAATTTTAATATTAACAGCTGGTTCATTAAAAGTAGTGTAAAATAATCCATATGGTCGAAATGTAAACAAAATTGCAGAGTGAACTTTAAAGGCCTCTGGGGCAGAGGCCTAAGAAAATTTACCTCGTTTCTCTTTTGAGAGCTCACCTACAGACCAATACCTTTGTTTAGACACCCCTACCAAGTTTCTACGCCCAGCCGTTCTCTCAAATTAGCTGTAAAGAAAAACAGTTTCAAATGAATATACAGGGTGTTGAAAATGTCTGGAACCAACATTATATTTGGTGAGTGGTTAAAGAAAAACAACTGATATTTTGTGTACGGATATACTATGGTTTTATCTATCTTTTGGTGCCTTATGAAATTTTTTACCACTTATAGGGAACGTCCTGTGGAGGATGCAGTAAAAAGTTTTAACGGAAGCATATGGTAAATGATACATCATTTGAAAGGCCATTTTTTTCTGAGTAAGGAGCCACAAGTTTCATCTCAAAAGGACCACCCTAGCAAAAATGGCGACTGTTTGAAATTTAAAAACATTGCTATTTAAATGGTCCGGATTTGTTTCCTTTAAATGCTATTAAAAGCCAGTTACGAAGTACAGTAGTTTATAACGTGGTGAACTGAAAAGTTACTAAAAAAAACATTTAACTAAATTGTTTGTGTTGTTTTACTAAACTTATTTTTAACATAAATACCAATTACGCTTTCAATTATTCTCAAAAACTTCCAACAGTCGCCATTTTCGCTAGGGTGGTCCTTTTGAGATGAAACTTGTGGCTCCTTACTCAGAAAAAAATTACCTTTAAAATGATGTATCATTTACCATAGGCTTCCAATAAAACCTTTTACTGCATCCTCCACAGGACGTTCCCTATGAGTGGGTTTTTAAATTTCAAACAGTCGCCATTTTTGCTAGGGTGGTCCTTTTGAGATGAAACTTGCGGCTCCTTACTCAGAAAAAAATGGCCTTTAAAATGATGTACCATTTACCATAGGCTTCCATTAAACCTTTTTACTGCATCCTCCACAGGACGTTCCCTATAAGTGGTAAAAAATTTCATACGGCACCAAAAGATAGGTAATACCATAGTATATCCGTACACAAAATATCAGTTGTTTTTCTTTAACCACTCACCAGATATAATGTTGGTTCCAGACATTTTCAACACCCTGTATATAGAATATTACTCACGATACAGAGAGCTTGTGACTTGTTTTAGTCCAGCATCTATAAGGGGTTGAGTATGCACTGAAAGTGTAACTCTTTTTGACTTTTGATTGTTGTTGGGGGCATCTTGGAGATGACAAAAACCGATGATGTCGCCCTCCCAGCAGGTGCACAACTTGGGGGGGAGGGGGGGAAGGTGCTCTGAGACGCGTTCTAGAAAATCGCTTATATCTCGTGAACTAGACACGATAGAAACAAGCTCTAAACGGCATTGTATTACCAACTTCATCTACTTTAAAAAAGTATCCAGGAAAAGGCCATTATCTATGATATTAGTTGAGTTATTTAACAATTTATTTAAAATTTTGAATAAAAACCCCTGAAAAACGTTAATTTATCCATTAAAACCTCTTTAAAACAACAAAAAGTACAGTTTTTCATCGTGCATTATATGTTTTACACTCTAAAGTGACTTTATATGGAAGTTATATCGAAATATTATAAAGTTATGCGAGGTTTCCGATGAAGCGGCACGGTGACGCGGGTGACGTCGCTGCGCGTCAGAAATCAACGTGTAGTACAGACTTGTAAAAATTATGTATGTACCGAAAGTGTAACACATTTTGACTTTTGATTGTTGTTGGGGGCAGCTTGGAGATGACAAAAACCTATGTTGTCGCCATTCCAGTAGGTGCACAACTTGGTGGGAGGGGGGGGAAGTAGCGTTGAGGCGCATTCTAGAACATCGCTCATATCTCGTGAACTAGACACGATAGAAACCTGTTTAAAACGACATTGTATTACAAACCGCATCTGCTTTAAATATTTTACAATGAAAAATCCCATATCAACGATAATAATTGAGTTATTTAACATTTTATTTGAAATTACAAATTTAAATTCAAAATACCGTTTATCTACCTATATAACTCTCATAAAACAATGAATAGTACTGTGTATGGAGTGCATTCTATGTTCAACACGACATAGTAATGGTGTATGCAACACCTA